TCTTTATAATTTATAAACTGCTTCTTTGTAATAGCCAGTATTCACCTCCACCATACTCTGCATATCCTCCAAATTCCCAGCATCACCAGAGGTTCACCAGCTCAGCAGGAGGCCCTCCCTCAGGCTTTAAGTATGAGTTTACAGGACCACAGAATACTGGCTATGGTGCAGCTTCTGGTTTTGACAGGGCTTTTGCAGGACAACAAGAATATGAAATTTTAGGACTAAGTTTCTGGACTGGCCTGAGAACTAGAGGAATATCCAGATATTTGTTCAAAAGCAATAGGGTAGCAACACCATTTTCAGACTCATTACACCACCCTTCATATCCTCCTCTATTCATTAGCACATTGAATAGGCATGTTTATTCACCACCCTGTGGAGGGATAGGGGACTATTCAGCATGTTCAGATTCCAAGACGAAAACCAGAACAGTGTCAGGATATGGTGGTACTAGACGGTGATAAAAATTAAAGTTGACGTTGAACACTGGAGGCAAAATTTGAGTTTTTACCATTTTTTAAAAAATGCTACCTGCTAACAACTGGAGAAGGGGAATATTCAAAGTTCTGTGATATTTTTTCCACTATAGCTTTTTGTATTTTGTTGGTTGTAGCTAAGAGTTAGCATATGACAAAACACTTATTTATGACATACAGTAGTATCACATGCAGGTGTAAAGTAGAGTTTTCAAAGCAATCATTCCTGTGGAAAGCTAAAACTGTACTATTTACTCATAAAACCTTTGAAACCACTGGAAAAGCACTACTAATGAAAAAAATCACAATAAAAACTGGTAGAGAAAACTTCAGTCTTAGGTGGCTCTAGTGTATGAGCCTTTACCTCATAGAAAGAATAACATTCAATTTGGTATTACATTATTTGCTGTTTTCAATTGTTCAAATATGTAAACCAAGCTTTACACTGTTAATTATGCTAATTCATAGGTTCTGATCACTTAAGAGCTCTGGAGCTCAGAATCCTTCGGTGGTGGTAGGCTTCTGGTAAGTAAAAATTACTTTTCATAAGTAAAGGTAGATGACAAGCACTTAGGGATAGAGAGATAGCTCAGTGGTCTAAGCGCCTGATTGGCAAACACAAAGAACCAAGTTCAATCCCCAGTACCTCATGCTGTGCTGGCCCCAGAACCCTGGGCGCTCTGTGCCAGCCACCAAAACCAATATGGTGGCACATGCCTATAATCCCAGCACAGGGGAGGCTGAGATGGGAGGATCACTAGGAGTCTGAACTGTGTAGCAAGACCCTGTATTGAATAAATTTTTAAAAAGAAAATAAGCGCCTATTAGAAAGAATAAGTACCTAGAAGGTTGTGAATGACTGCATGCCGATAAATACTTGAAACTTCCCTGTTTCTTCAGCAGAGGCGAGAGTCCTCACTTTGTAAACTGCTTGAGCCTGTGCAGAGGCATGGAAATGGTGTCAGTGCTACACTCACCCAAAGACAGGTATCCTGCTTACAGTATAAGGGAGGAAAAGAGGCTTGCTCTCCCCCTGTTGCTCTTAGTGATTTTACTGTCTTCTGCTGCTTTGAACTGTTGCCCCTCTGTCATGCCACCCTTCCTTGCAGCCAGTTAAGTATGCACTGAACATCCACAAACTGTGAGCTAAATGAACCTTTCTTCCCCTAATTCTAGGAACCACATATTTTGTTTCAGCAATGACAGAAAGTAACTGAAACAGAATTTAGTACTAGGGAGTGAGGTGCTTGTTGCAATCATACCTGAAAATGTAATACAAGAGCCTTTAGAAATATCTTGTGGGGGGCCGGGAGATGGCTCAGTAGAATAAGCACTTTCTTGGCAAGCACAAGGGCCTGAGTTCAATCCTCGGTTCTGCCAAAAAAA